TCTCTCTGGTCTGGTCATCTTCAGTACCCTCTGCGGACATGCGCCAAACGCACACTACTTCATAGTCGAACAAGCACTTGTATGCATTCGAGCTTATGCAGTGACTTGAGGGGGCCAGCCGTTTACCAAGTCAGGCTTTTATCCTTCCAGAATTACTTTGGAACCAATTTACCGTCTCTGGAGGGTAAAGGACTTGGTGGGCCCAAGGGCGGGGAGCGAACCTGCGTTTGATCTGGTCATAGCGTCGCCTCATACCGCTATGCCGCTCGTCCCCCCTCTCTCTCCCCCCCCCCCAGTCTGAGCATATCTAGGAAACTCTGAATGGATAGCAGCAAAGGAACTTTTTTGTTTTAAAATTTGACATAAGGGCAAGGCCTGTCACCTAGCAGAACTTAACTTTATCGCAAAGTCCTCCTCCTGTTTTCCATAAACTCTGCTGCTTTCTTATTGCATCCATTTCGATTGACTAGATTTTGCTGCAACAGCAAAAGCAGAGCGCTCTGCTCACGTTTTTGTATCCTATCCGATTCTATTTTGTCTGAACGGTAAGTTAACGATGTTTCTACCTTCATAAAGACTACAATAATTTTTATGATAATCTAATATTTGCAAGATTCTATGAATGCAAAATGAATATCAAAGATTGAAGTTGTGTTGGCGTTACTTGCTTTTAAAGTAGAACACGCAATACAAATTTCAAAATTGAACCTTAAAAAATGCTAGGGTTTAAGAAACCGGTTTTAGTTCTAATCTTATCATAACCTAATTCTTTTAACAAAGAAGATTAGTGTTGAATGAATGGCTCCAGGGCTACGGTTCTCTCGGCTTTTCTATTTGATTATATAATTAGAATCTTCAGGGGTTGAGCAAGTGGTTTGGCACATAACCGCTGGGTACGACCCCCCTCCTCTCCCCACCACCTCCAGCATTACCGTTTCCTACCGCATAAACAACAAGGCTATAAAAAGCATAATTAGTAAGAGATGTTGCTAGCATGCCAAATAACCCATGCGGGGCAAGTTTTAAGGGTTCGAAGGCCCTATGTTGGGCCATTCAAGTGATATGGTCATTTTCAAACTGGTTGACTTTATTGCAAGGCGGATCAGCTAGTTTTTTGCACTCAATGCAAAACACACTCATTCTCTGCCCAAATATAAAATCCTATTTCATATAACCTTCAAAATACAGAATTAAGAGCGAGCTAAAATCTCACTTGCCCCAATTTTCGCTTTTAGCGGTTCTGCTTTCAGCAGCTATCAAATAGACTGAAATGAATGAGTTAGGCTCAGTCTGCTATTGTGAAATCTACAAGATTTGTGCCATCGCATTGTTCGATGAACATGGAGAACGACTTGAGGGAAGAATTTAACAGGAGAAGAAGAGCTGCCTGGGCCGCCTTCGGCACCCACAAAGGGCTAGAGCGCAGTCTTCTGAAAATGACATAATACGAACAACATCTTGTGAGACTTCGGTGCGGATCTAAAAGAATGTCCCGTCTTTGTGATGCAGCGGAATACATTGCGAAAGCGAAGCATGCATGAGCCAATCACATTGCGAGAAGAGCAGACGACAAATACACTTGAAGTATCGAAGTAGAATCCTCGCGAAGCCAAATGTCCCCGAGCAAGACTACCAACGCAGACTGTTCGTGGAACGGATGGACCAGCTGAGAAATCAGCTGGATACGATTATCGCACCTGGAACTCGTGGACGCAGCCACCGACGGCAACCAAGAAGATCGTGGATGTCTGAAACGAGGAACAGGGACAAATGGAAACTTTTGTGCTGGGGCCGCATGTCACGTGAAGCCGGGCCATCTAAGTGTCTAAGTAAGTAAGTGATATATGAAAAAAGTTATGCAATTATAGAGTGGCGTTTGAAAACTAGCTATGTATTGTGAAAGTAATATGATACATAGTCAGCTAGAGCGACTCAGTGTGATTAACCGAGATCGCCCACTCGCCTTGGTCTGGTTTCATATCAAATTCCTATCAACAGAAGTTGAGAGGAAGTTTGAAATAATCATTTTCACTTGTGCCTCTCACAAGGGAAGGGTGGTTAGTCGAAGTAGCCTTTTGCGACGATTTGTATACCATGTTGGAGGGCGTAAAATGCTGGTTCCAAATCTGTTCTCCTTATCTGCAACGCGTTCCTGGACGAGGAGTTATGAGCGTTTGAAGGTGAAAAAACGAATGTTTTTTGGGATAAAAACAGATGCTAGAGTTTTCCCAGCTCTTAAAATGCGACAGCCGAGTGTCAGTATATCTCATCTAAGAGTATTTATTTTATAGAGTCCTAGAAATATTGTCACTGGTCCATTTTAGCGCTATGAAAAATGTTACTACTGTTTGTATTATATGCGTATCGATTTTTTTTCCAATAAACGCTCATAACTACTCATGCAGGAATGCGCCGCAGATAAGGAAGACAGATTTGGAATCAGCGATCCTCATCTCAAAAGGCCGCTTCGATCAACCATTCCCTTCATTCAGTCCATTTCAACTTTACTCCCTACTTAGTGGGTGCCTTCCATGTAAATACAATTGAACGACCATCCTCACACCTCATGTTCGAAAACGCATTGGCATCTGACAGTTCAATAATACAAGGTTAGCTAATGTAGTCAATTTTGGATGCTATAATCTCAATATCATTCTTTGTTACGTAGTATAATTCTGGTTCTCAACTGTACTGATTGAGTGTTGCTTGAGATTTTTTACCAGTCCTGATTACAAGTTTTCCCAAATAATGTTCTTTTCTTCTTTTTCTCACTGAATATTATATAATTTTCCTGTTGTTTCATAATAAGCGCACTCTTCGTGCATTCAATAAATGTTATATATAAAGCTGAATGTCTGTTTGTCTGTATGTATTTATGAATGTATGTTGTATGTACGTATGTTTAGAATAGAAATTTTTATTCCTGAACCGATCCGGACCCAAACTTGGCACACACACACTTCGGGGCGAAGCGGGTGTCATGTGCTACTTTTCGCCATCGATCGATATCGATTTATAAATTTTATCGATTTTTCTGTAAATTTTGAGCTAAGGGGCTGGGGTTGGCATAGTGGGCTAACTAAGCATGCTGATTACGAATGTAGTGACTGTTTGACAGAATACTTAATACTTTTTTTAGAGCCTTGGATTAGAAAAGATGTAAGTTTGGTACTTCGTTTTACTAATTCAAGCAAGCTATTCTTTATTTGTCTTCCTCAATCCTGCATGAAAATATTTCTTCTGTCATCTGGAACTGGATTTCGGTAAGGGACAAACAAGTGCGCTGATTACAAAATAGCCTCCCTAAAATAATTCGAGTGCTAATGCCACGATCAAACGGAAAGAGTGCACTGATCACTTCTATAAAATCACAACAATTTTGATTTTTTGGCGAGGTCTGGATTTGGCGATTTTTCGGCGTTTCTGTAAAATGTTTTATTTATGATAGACTTTTGAGATCTCAGGTTCTAATAGAGCTAGACTAAATTGTTGTATTTTTTGCATGCAAACATTGTGTATGTGGGTAAACGTACCATAAATATTTTCGGAAACAACCTTTTCAGGTTTTTTTTTGAATTTATTGGGAGAAAATCATGCTGGCGTCTTGGAATGAGAAGGGAAAAATTATTTGAGTAGTTGCGCTGGATTGACCATTAAAGTTAGCATATGCATATTTTTGACGCAAGGTCCCAGGATGTCTCTGAAACGAAGACAGGCATTTTTGATTTTTTTCTAGAGATTCCTGTTTCACCGAGTATTGATATATGCGTACGCTTCCGTCGGTTCAACGTTGGTTGTCCTCGCCAGAGGCAACCGAGATGGTCGTCCTTGCCAGAGGCAACTGATAGTTTCATCGCCAGAGACAACCTAGATGGTTGTCCTCGCCAGAGGCAACCGAGATGGTCGTCTTTGCCAGAGGCGACTGATAGTGTCATCGCCAGAGCCAACCTAGATGGTTATCCTCCCCTGAGGCAGCCGCAAGCATTGCGGCCCTCGAGAGGCAACCGTCCGGCATGAGGCAACCATCAGAAATGACTGGAGCTGCGGCGCCTTATATAGCCTTGCCTTATATACTCCGGTGGGCGGGCAGGGGACGGTCAACTCGTGTGGTTAAGCATAGGCTTTCCATACAAAATCTATCCGCCCCTTCCGAGTTGGTGTGACCAATCACAGCCGGTTCCGCCCCCTTTCGAGGGGTATATAAGGCGGCCGAACTCGGCATTGTCGGTCACTCACCTCTGTTAGCCGGCGTCCACTGAACCACCGAGAGCTCTGGCTACCAAACGAGGACCGAAGATCTAAGGATCTGAGGACCAAGCAATAAAGCTTAAATGCTCCTATTTCTCCAGTACCGAGAAGCCAACAGGCTCCTATAGTTGCTTATCACCCACGTATGAAAACAGTGCAGTCCCGATCGCACAGCATGCCTTCCCTGCCGAGAAAGTTGCCTTCAAACTTACACGCGCTCGGAGGAGTTGGCAAACCCCCTTTCACCATTGAAGGTTTCCCGCCGCAATGCTGTAGCCATTGAGTGCTGCAACGATTCAGCCCTTTAGCCCTGCCACACTTGTCCATTTTGAAGCTAAGGACATCGGAAAACGCTCGTTCTCGCCGTTTTCAAGCATTCTTAAGTGAATTTTTGAAGTCAGCGTATTGAATAACTCCAGGTAAGGGAGAATTTGGCTAGGTTACGATTTGTCGAGCCACTGCCTTTGATCTAGTGATTTTTGGCAGATAGCCTTTGCACAAGCTACTGCCTTCTAAGTTGCATAAAGCTCTTTGTCTTACCACATAAATGTCCTCAATGTTGCTGACAACGAATTTAGATTTCGCGTCGCTTTTTTGTATCATTGCTTGACATAATTCCAGAAAAGGTTTTCATCTTTGTCATGAGACATTATCGGATTATGCATGTCCCTATTACTTTACCAGAATCAGAATATTGTGCTTTTCTAATATGTTCTCCATATATGACATCATTGTGCACATTCATAAATGCTTCAATGGTACCCTTCCAGACAGTAACTCTTTCTGAAAGCCATGAAACTTTTGCTCGCAATATTGGCAGTAATCGCACTGGCTGAAGGGGGTCTGGTATGGGAGTTTGATACACCCCACTGCGACTTCTGTAAGGATTTGATCAACCACTTGCAAAAGCACATGACAACTGAGACTGATCCTTATAAGGTAATTCGCTTTTGATTTCTCGAAATCAGTTAAAAACATAATATCGAATACAGCAAAATCCCTTAATTTTTTTACATGCTGGAATGAGCTTCAAAATGTTGGAAGTAATGTCAAAGCATATCTGGGTACTTAAAACTCTTACATTAACTAAATGAAAGGCCGTAGCTCAACCATTGCCTGAACGGCAGCTTTGTGATACCCTAACACTAATTTATATCTAAACTCCAACTTGGATCGTATCTTGACCGTTCAAGGCTTTCGATTGATTAGCTTTTGCTTTGACTAGAAAGGAAGATGATACCGTTCGCAATGGCTTTGCTAAGGTCTCTCAACCAGATCGACATGGGAAGTCCATGTTCGTTTTACATTTGCCTTTGATTCTGTCAACTGTTGCTAGTAAAGTCGCCGCCTCAAAAACGGTGTTGTACCAGATTTTGGGTTTTGGAATCATTGCAGTTTACAAGTCTTTTCAACACTGCATAATCCTATAGCGGCTCAAATCGCTAAAAAATCCAATAAACTCCGTTGTTCGAAGAACCCGTAAAGCAAAGCGGATGAGCTGACCTAGTCTATTTTGGTTTCGGCCGCAGCGCACGTGTAAAAAAGAAAGGATTTCCTAGAAAGATTGAGACACGATAGGGAACCGACAGGTCGTCCACCGCGAGCAGAAATGCGCTTGGCGCGCCACTTTGAGCTCAGTTTTCTCGGAATAGGAGAGGACTTTTTGAATGAAACTTGAGCACTGTCCTGACAATAAGACCCCTTTATTATGTGGATATGTTCGGCAGATTCAACCAAGACAGCTTTTTTTGCTTTGCTTTTATTGCAGCATTGGATTAAATCATTTTTTGTAGAAAATTTGAGACAACGAGATAATGCAAATTTTAGATATATGACGAATTCTGCAAAAACCCGATTGAAATCAACATGGGCCTGTGCATGTCTTTGAGGAAAAAAATACCGTTTATACTTGAGAAGACGAAGGTAAGGATGGACATTTTTCTAATGAAACGGACAAAGGAATCCGAAAGCAAATCAAACATTAGTGAAGCAAAAACAGTGCATCAAATTCCCGTACTTCTTCTTCCAGGAACATCTTGAACCGCAGAAAATATGCGCTGCCAAACTCATCGATTTGTGCGTCTAATCCAACTAGAAGGAAGATTACTCAAAACTTGCAATAAACTTTCTAGAAATTTTCTCCACCCTGTTCCTTACCATCAGAATTGAGCAATAAACCATCTCGAATATATGGCTTGAAAATAAGTACACTGTTTGATTTGAAGGTAAACACTTGGTCTTAACTCGTAATAACTGTGTAATGATATTTGCCCATAGCATCGCAATCGTGCTTGTACAAGTTCATGAGTTTTGAAGCTTTATAACACTGTTGTTAACAAAAAGCCAATCTAGCTACATTCCAGTTGTGGCCTCAAAGTATACACAATATCAACAGTTGAATTTTTGCAGTGTGAAAGGTCTCTCTAAAGACTTAGGGCGGACAAACACGCAAAGTTCAGTTGCAAACGCGGTTCTACTTTCCATAAGGCGCAAAATGCATAGGATTCACAGTAGCTGTCCGCGAGCCCGCTCGCGGATGTTCAACAGAAACTCAGTCATTTGTTTTCTGTCTATTTAAACTTATTCGTCACGCTAAAAAACCCACCCGGAAACAAAAAAGAGAATAGATTCTTTCGAAGCCTTTAGTTGGAATGTGGGCGAGGTGAAAGGTCTTGCCAAGGCTGAAACGCAGAGTCGCTGTGGGACCCTATGACTTCAGCAGTAGCGGCATGCTACCAAATTCTGACGTCGCAGTGAAAGCTACGGTAGGTGTATGGTATGAAGAAGAAAAATTCAAAGTTTATTTATTTATTTATTTATTTATCAAATACATCTCAAACGATGCACCACCTCAAAATTGAAATACAAACAGACGACTAAATATGGAGCAGGTGGGAGAAAAAGGCAAGAATGACCTCAAATTTTCTCTCACTTTCGAGTCGTATCCAACTGACAAATCTAGTAGAGTTCTTATATGATTTCGGGAAAATGGTAAAGCTCATAGGCTGCCGATAAAGGCCAACATTGTTGAAAATGTGACTTCTGGGACCGGATGTGTTCGAAGATGGTGTAGGTAAATAATGTAGAGGCGATGGCGTTGAGAATCAGGACTTAAAAAGTATGAGTAGATTTCTTATACATTATCAGGAGTTTTGAACATATGCACACCGACCAGCAAAAGTAGTATATATTGCGCTCAAAATACGTAGTGTTATGAAGTACTACTTGTGGCAGGTCATTTTCGGTACATGGTGCACCAGTCCATCCATTTATCCATCCATCAAATTGTCCAGATCGATCCATCCATCCATATGCATACATACATACATACATACATACATACATACACGTGTCCATTGATTCCTTCAATAACTCCGTATTTGAGTAACGAAATGTTGATTGATGTGCGAGCTCAAAGCTTCCAATAATGTACGTTGTGTTATACGGATGAAATATATAGAAAATCGGCTAGCAGGGTTCTTAAATACAATCGTGGGTAAGTAACAGTTTCGTTGTTACCGGTAAGTGGGAGATTTTCTTGAACTGTGTATTTGAGAGCAGTAAGGATCGACGAGTACAGGAAAAAGGATACGATATGAAAGTAGATGTATATGAAGAATTAACACTTGCATTTCGTCTCCCAGTACATGTTTTGAAGAATACAGCAGTAAGGGAAGGTAGTCATAAGAAGACAGAAAATTCAACAGAGAAATTAAATACAATCTGAGCTAAATTTGTCAAGGTAATTATGTTCGATTAGGAATTTCCTTAATTTATGTGGATCCAATGTTATCAGTTCTATAGGAAGTTTATTTAGTATGTAACACATGCGGGCACCAAATGAATTCTGTAGGCTACGTTTTCGCCATCCTTTGGAATAATGTGTGTAGGCGTTAATTCTAAAATGACGGATACTAGTGGAACGTAAAATACAGAATTCCGAAAATCTTAAACGAGTTTCAGATTTGAAAATCTTATAAGCTAGTAATATGTCAGCTAATAATCTTCTGTGGTATAAACTTTTGAGTCCTAGCATGGTTAGTCTAGTTTTATAATCAGGAAGAGCCCTAGGGTAATCAGGATTTGGGAATATTCGGTAGAATAAGATTCTAGTGAATGTACGTTGTACTTTTTCCAGTTTTTCGATCAGATTTTTGACGTTAGGATTCCAAACTGGGCTACAATATTCTAATACAGGGAGTACGTAAGCTTTCCAGAGTTTCAGCCAAATGTTGATATCATGAACATGTACGTTTCTTAGTAAGGTGTACATTATGCGGTTGGCCTTGCAAACAATATTATCAATATGTAATGAAAATTTAAAAGAGGAATCTATAACCACTCCGAGGTCTTTAACATTTTGCTGAATTTGCAAGGGAATTCCGTAATCGAACACAGTCAAATCAGTACCTAATTGAAGTATCTGACTTTTGGATAAATTAACTCTGATTCCCCAATCTCTAGCCCATTGTAGCATTTGGTGAACAGACAATCTCAACTTTTCGCGTATTACTAGGCTATCATTATTATCGTAACTACCATAGATTTTAATGTCATCAGCATAAGCTGCTACATTGATACGGGAATCAATTTTTAGTAGGTTTGGTAGTTCCATGGTATAGATGTTGAACAATAGTGGGGAGAGAGCACTTCCTTGAGGAACACCTGACGTACAGGGTTTTGCTGTAGACTTTTGACCTTGGAAAAAAACTTCAAAGGTCCTACCCGATAGATATGATTCGAACCAACTCAAAAGATTGGTCTTAATACCTATGCTTTCAAGTTTCATGAGAAGCCCAGTATGATTGACAGAATCAAATGCTTTACTTAAGTCGAAGTATATGACATCGATTGATTTGCCTTCGCTAAGTGCCACGATCCAATCTTGGCAACATTTCACCAGTTGTGTAGATGTAGAGGACCCGGGTATGAATCCATGTTGTTCATCGGGTAGAAAGTGGTTTTCTAAGCACCATTTCAATATAGATTTAGCCAAGATTTTTTCCATGATCTTGCAAGGCGTAGGCAAAATGCTAATTGGCCTAAACTCGGAAACCTTGTTTGCACATGCACACTTGGGTATGGGCACAACTATAGCTCTTTTCCAGATTTCTGGGACATCCCCAGTCATCAAGGAAATGTTAAAGATATGCGTTAGAGGCAAGGAAAGGCTTTTAGCACATTTCTTGTAAAAGAAACCAGGTATGTTTTCGGAAGTGCATGACATTGAGGGTTTAATTGCTTTCAAAAGCTTGTGTACTTCAGTATGTGAGAAAACTGGATTAGGAAACACATTGCCGCCTAAAGAATCAACTTGGGGGATTTGCAGGCAAGTGCTGGTATAAGCACCTGCGAAACCTTCAGCCAAAGCATTAGCCTTGTCTAGAGATGAGAGTAGGGTGTGTCCGTCATTATCGAGAATAGTGGTACCAACTTTGGATTTGGAGATTCGATAACTCATCATATTAAACAAAGCGCGCATATTATTCTTCTTCGCCATTTTTCTTTGTTTGTAATCCCAAAAACGTCGTAGATGATGAGATAGATTCCGACAAACACTTCTGTATTGTTCACAGTCAGCGGGAATATTAGACAGAAAAAGTCTCTTCTTTTGATGTAGAAGGTTCAGGATATGAGGAGGATATTTGATAACAGAACCGTGATGCCTTTTAAGTGGGACGTAGTTTTCAATCAAATTATATAGTACTGCGAGAAATCTTGAATAGACATCATCAATATCAACATAGCCATCAAATAATTGGAACCAATCAATGGCAGATATTTCTCTGTTGATGGTATTAAAATCAGCAGAATCAAAATCACGCACTATATTTATGCATTCCTTGATTTTTGGCATTTCTAAGGTGAATTTGACTATTGCATGGTCAGCACAACCAAGGGGAGGTAAAGTCCCTTCAAAGCAAACAAGGCCTGGAGAAGCAAGAACGATGTCCAGAATGGAGTTGCCCCGTGTAGGCAACGTAACTACTTGCTTCATCTCAAGAGAATCAAACAAGTCTAGGTATTTACGGGAGCAAAACGTTTTAGTTTTCTTCATTTTCCAGTCTACACCGCTCAAGTTGATATCACCTAATACTATGGTTTTCGTGTTGTCAGATGCGAGTCGAGATAAGATAGAGCGTAGTTCATCATCATCTTGTGTAGTGGCATTAGGAGGTCGGTAGATTAATACAAATCGATACCTAATGGGGAATTCGATCATAACATCAAATGCTACAATGTTGCAGGTGGATTGGGAATCAAGGTCAGTGCGACAAATCTCATACAGTAATTCAGTATGAATAAGAACACAAACACCACCGCCTTTTTTGTGGGATCGATCACTGCGTAGAATAAAGTATGGCAAGCCAGAAATCACTTCATTATCAGAAACATTCGATGTTAACCAACTCTCAGTAATAAACACTATAGCAGGCTTCGTACAAAAAAGGAGGTGATGCAGCTCAAGGAGTTTGTTAGTAAGGCTTCTGGCATTAAACAAAAGGCATAAAAGTTTATCTGGAGCAAACATCTTCAGTTTTTTGAAAGCGAAGCTTTTATTTTTGGTATGTCAGAGGCCTTAACTATCTCATTTCTATACACCACATACATTTTCACGCCATTATGTTCTAGATTCATTTCATGTGCTTTTCTTCGCAATTCTCTGTCTCTAGCCCGTTCCTCTCGGGTCATCGACCTTCTTATGAAGATTTGGTTGTGACCGTCTGAGGAGCGTAGCCTCGGAGCGTTCCGTAAGGCCTTGAAGACAAAGCGCCGCGAGGGCAAAACACATTTAATAAGTCTAGGTCTCCCTGAGGTGGAGGAGCCCATGCGGTACACCTCCGTTGGGCGGGCTTCCACCTCAAGGAGATCGAGTATTTTTGAGACAGCTGTCTCAGTATGCTTTTGCTTCTCAGAGGGAACAGCATCATCACTCACTTCATCGACACCGTAGATCACTAAGGACCTGCCTCTTTTCTCTGCCTCCACAATGGAATGTGGATCTGTATTGAGAAACGTCAATAGTTTCTCAAACAAGGGCAGAGCGTCAGGTGCCCTGTTCACGATAATCGAGTGCAGCTGGGCTATCAGCTGATCCCTCTCGCATTCGTTTGAAGTCGCTGTCGTACCATGGCTGCCAGAGTTA